CCATTTTCTCAAGGGTAAGCGGCAGGGGTCCGAGAGAGCAGGCAGCAGAGAAGACACTTGCCTCATACGTGTCTGATCTGGGTTCGATCCCCAGTACTCGACATGGTTCCCCTGAGCCCCACCAGGAGTGATCCCTGAGCACAGAGCCAGGAGTCAGCCTGAGCACAGTCATCTGTGACACAAACACCCACCCCCATCATCTTCATCTTCATCTTCATCATCATCAGCAGCAACAGCAGCAGCAAGAGAACAAACTTGTTGCCCCGGCCTAGACAGGGCTGGCAGTGCCAGCCCAGAGACTGGCAGAGATAAGGAATGGTACCCAGTGGCAGAACACTGAGCTTGGTGGCACTGGCCAAAGAAGCCAGTTCTCCTGGGCACACTCAAATTGAAACCAAAGCAGTGTTTTCTGCAGAGACCCTGGGACTGGCACCTGTGTTTTCTAAAAGCCTGGAGTCTTGGTGGAGTTCTAGGGGCTGGGGTGGTCAGGAGGGACTTCCTGTAGGAGGTGGGCTTTCACTGATGCTCGAAGGATCATGGTCTCTGCCGTGAATGTGTCCAGAGCACTTGCTCTTAAGTCCCCGAAGGAGGACCATCATTCAGGTATGGAATGGTGGCAGCTCAGATCCGAGGGGCTGCCCAGGAACTTTCAGGCCAGCCCTTCCTGCCCACATTATTGCTGGACTCTTGGGATATGCCCTATTTCTTGGGGTGTCTGGGGGCAGTCCTGGCCCCCTCCCGGCCCGCCAATGAGTACTCTCATGCCCCCTGTTGGGAGGCAGATGTATTGACTGGCACTATAATGCAAGAGGAAGCCTCAGTTTCCCCTTGCCAGCTGCTGTGAGCAGCCCTGCTTTTGGCTGGCCAAAAATGAGGTATTTGGCCTCCCTGCAAATACCTGGGTTTTTCTGATAAACGGAGAGTTAACAATTGTTCATCATAAAATTCTGCCCTGGGGGCTGGAGCAATAGCACAGCGGGGAGGGTGTTTGCCTTGCACGCGGCCGATCCGGGTTCGATTCCCAGCATCCCATAGGGTCTCTCGAGCATCGCGAGACAAAGATAATGGACAATCCCAGAGGCAGAGGCCAGGAAGGCCCCCGAGCAGCCTGACAGCCCTGGAGAGCCCCCACAGAGCCCCGTACTCTCTGTAACGCGTGTCTGTTGCTAAGAAAGGCACAGGGCTTAGAACGGCCCCCACAAGCTCTTACTTTCAACCTGGTCCTACGCTGAGTTCCTCCCCACTCAGGAACCTCCTTTTCTTTTCTTTTTCTTTTCTTTTCTTTTCTACTTTCCAATAAACGTTTCTATGTTCCAACTCTGTGTCTGAGCATCTTTGTTATTTCATATTTTCATTCTTGAAAATATTGAAGAAGCCGGGAATCACGAATAAACAGAGTCACCGCCGCCAGTTCTGCCTCTTCCGCATCAGCGCTGGTGCCGGCCCAGCTGCCACGTGACCCGGACCCCCAGGGCCCTTCTCCATAAGGGGGGGGGAAGAACCCATTTTTTGGGGGGGCTCTTTTGGGTCACACCCGATGATGCACAGGGTTCCTCCTGGCTCTGCACTCAGAAATCACTCCTGGCGGTGCTCGGGGGACTCTATGGGATGCTGGGAATTGAACCCGGGTTAGCCTCGTGCAAGGCAAATGCCCTCCCCGCTGTGCTATTGCTCCAGCCCTGGGGGAAGAACTCTGGGGGCGGGGGGGGGGGGGGGATGTGTGTGGTCAGAAAGGCTGCAGAGTCACAGCAGAGTCACGGCTGCTTAGGGCCAGGGGCTGAGACCAGCCCTGCTAAGTGCTGGACGCGGGGCATGGGAGACCCTCCCTGCACAGGGCACTTCACCAGCAGCCAGAGGGACCCCCTTCCCAGCCCACGGCTGCGGTTCCACCTTGTTCTGATGGAGCGGAGTCACCCAGACCCCCTCTGGACCAATCTGGTCTCCCCCCGACCTGGGACACGCCCACCAGTTGCCCCTTCCCCAGAGGAGCCAACCCCAGTGGGGATGCCCTGCGTGTCCCTAACAGCGCCCCCACCCCATTGGCCTGGCAGATATCCCCCTCAGCCCCGCCCCCAGCTCCGGTTGGTCTCTGCTGGCTCCCCCTCCCCCCGGGCTGCTCTGGCTGCCAGAGACTTCCTGGAAGCAGAAGGATGTGGCTGTGACTCCGCGTCCCTCCTGGAGGGGAGGATGGGGGGCCTGGGGGACTCCTGGCCGACTGGAAGGAGCCGGGGAGGGCGGGGGGGGGGGGGGTGAGATGATGCTCTCGCCCAGGAGGGGAAGACGGAGCTCTGGCTGGGGCAGATATGTGCAGACGGGGAGGGAGGGCCCAGAGAGGGCAGCCACTGGCCCAAGGCAACCAGCAGTGGGGAGCCAGGCTGGGCTCCTCCGGGGATACCTGGCACAGCTGGAGTTTGTGTGTGTGTGTGTATGTATGTATGTGTCTATGTGTATGTATGTGTCTGTATGTGTGTATGTGTGTGCATGTTCGTGTGTGTACGTATGTGTGTATATGTGCGCGCGCGTGTGCATGTGTGTACATGTGTATGTGTGTGTGAGTGTATGTGTGTGCATGCATGTGCATGGGCTGGAGGGTCATGGTCTCTGCTGCCCCCCAACCCCCGTGGGGCTGACTCTCAGGACCCCCATGCTCCATGGGAGGAGGGGGCGGCGGTGGGGAGAGTCTGAGGGAGGAGGCCCGTCTTTGATGTCCACACTGCGTGCCTCCCTCCCTCGGGAACGAACGCCTGAGTCATCCCAGAGCCGCAAACAAATTTAGCTCCTTTCATCGTCCTGAATAAATCAATTTCTCCAGGTCTCCCTCACCTGCTGCCGTTCCCGCCGCGCCCCGCCCCCTGGCAGCCACCGCAGGGGCTGGGGTGGGGGCGGCTTGTGCAGTCACCAGGGCCCTGGGACGGCCAGTCGCCCCCCCCCCCCGCCCCTCCCCTGCTCTCCTCCTCCCTCCCCGGCCCTGTGGGCCATGCTGTGCTCCCCGCCCAGTGATGGGTCCCAGTTGGAATTTCATAGAAAATTGCATCGGGGGCGCGGGCGGAATGACTCAGGGACAGACTCGGCGTCATGCGCGTCGCTCAGCTCCGCGTGGCTCAGCCTTCACCCCACCAGTTTGCTTGGGGATCAAGGGGGTCCTGGACATACCTTCCTTGATCCTGGGTCCTTGTCTTGCCTCCTCCTGGCCCCTGCAGCTGGAAAACCCGAGCCTCTATGAAGCTTAGGGTTTCGTGGGCACCTCTTCCAGGCAGCCTCCCAGATCTCCTTTTCCTAAACCCGGAGGATCTTTCTTCCTCTGGTAGCCCAAGCCCGCTGCTCCGTATCTCTATGAAAGTATGTAGCTCGTCTGATGATGATGATGAGGAGGAGGAGAACACAGCCCCTCCGCGAGGCTGCAGCCCCCGCCCAGCATCTTCTGGACAGATGTAATCAGTGATCATCCCCATTTCACAGGCGGGAAAGCGGAGTTGAGACCCGCAGGAACGGAGGCCCGCGAGCGCGCCTCACGGCTGCCCTCCTGTGGCCGTCAGCGGGAGTGACATGCGGCACCTTTGCCTCGGGAGCCCCTCGCCTTGCGGGGCGAACCCAGGACGGGACCGGGACCCCCAGGACACCAAGTCCCCGTTGCAGGCTTCTGCCGCGCAGCTCACCCGGCCCGGCCCTTGGGTGAGGAAGAGGAGGCGAGTGGCCGGCGCAGGGCCCTGGGGAGGGAGGGAGCCGGGAGCGCGAGGCTGGAGGGAGGCCCCGAACGTGCCCAGCGGTGTCAGGGGGCTGCAGGGGCCGGGGGCCCTGGCGGACCCGTCCCACCCCGCCAGGTGCTCAGGTGCAGAGCCTCTCAGCCACGTGTGCACGGCGCCCCCTGCCGCCCAGAGCGGGAACGGCAGGACGGGGAGCCGGTGCGCGGCCGCCCACGAGGAGGGACCCACTGGTACCCGGTTCGGGTCACCCAGGAGATTGGACCCACTGGTACCCGGTTCGGGCCGCCCACGAGAGAGGGACCCACTGGATAATCCCCCGGGCCCCTCCCCGGCCCCTGCCGCACGCGCCTCTGTTCGAGCTGGTGCTGGTTGCTGAGTGCCTCCGCGGGTCACCTGGGTCCAATCAGCCTTGGTGGGCACCTACTGCGTGCTGGGCCCAGCAGTGTAGTCTGGCCGGTGAGGCGCTCAAGCGTGCGCAGACGGCCTGTCTGTCTGTCCTTCCCCCTGACGTGCAAGCCCGACTCCTCCGGGAAGCCTTCCTGGATAGCCCCTCTTCCCGGGCCCCACCGGCCTCCAGGTCCCTCTATCAGCACGGCTGGCTGGGGCTGTTACTGTCTCCCACACCAGAGGTGGACTCCGTTAGCAGGGGGCAAGGGCTTTGTCCCTATCATCTCTGAACGCGGGTGTGGGGGCTCAGAGCCCAGTGCTCAGTGGGGGCTCAGGACGCGGGGCCGAGTGCAGGGGTGAGTGGGCACGCCGGGCACTGTAAGGCCCTCAGAGAGGGGCTCTGTGGAAACTGGGAGAGCTGGGTTAGGGTGTGGGGGGTCTCTGGGCCAGGGGGAGGCATGGGCCTTGTGGAGTGTTTGAATCAGCGCGCCCCCTGCAGGCTGTTCCTGAAATAGCGCCCGGGCCATAGGCCTCTCTTCAACAGCGGCACCCCTCGGCAGAGTCCCCCTCCCCCAGGGACACAGTGCCGGTCCCGTCTCCCCACGCAGGGCAGCTGGTGGGAGGTCTGGGTGCCTGCTGTGTTGGGAAGCCAGGCCCGGGACGTCTGTCCCACCCAGTGACCACGGGACCCTGAGCTCACCTCTCCTGTCCTCCTGCCCCACGCTGGGAGAGGGACAAAGGCCGAAACGGCGGGAGCTCCCAGGGCTGGGTCAGGAACTTTATTCTCTCCTCGCGGAGGTGTATCTGGAGCGAGCACTCAGGCCCAGAGTCACCCGGAGAGCGGAGTCCCCCTGCCCCCAGCAATGGCGGGGAAGGAGCTGGGGACCAGAGATGGGGAGTGGGCTGAGGTCACACAGCCAGCCTCTGTGTGGGTGGGAGACTCCGGCTTCCAGTCCAGTGCTCCTTCCATGCTTTAGGCTGTCCCCTCCAGTTTCAACGAGGCTGCAGAGACCCTCTCCCCCCAGCTTCCTGATGACCAGGGTCTGTGAGACTCAACTGTCTGACCGTCTCTGGTGCAGTCACATTCCCAGGTACTTGCATAACCCCAGAGACGGGGCTCTCACCACCTCACGGGGGAATTGAGTCCTCCTGACCCCACCCACGTAGGATGCCTGTGTGGGTGCACAGCAGGCAGGAGTATCCTGTGCCACTTCGGGGGCACTCACTGCACCCACTCAGGCTGGCCTAGCTGCCAGCCTGCCCGCTGGGGAGCTTTCCTCAGGGGCTCTCCCTGAGTTATGCCATAGGTCAGAATTATGCCTCCCCCAGGCGTGGCCTCTCCATGCTGGGAAACCCTGTCTGTCCCAGTTTGTTGCTCCAGCAAAGCCCAGGTACCCAGGGATACCGAGTCAGTGGTCTCCCAGGCTGCCTTTGCCCCATGCTTCTTGGCTTGACCCCACCTTGGCTTGGCCACTGCCTCCAAGCAGTCCTCCTGGTAACCACATCTCACAAAGCACACCCTCTTCTCAGCTTCTAGGTTGGGCTGACCATCCATCCTGCTTGAGCCCACCTTTTGGGGGTGGTCTCTGCCGTTTGCAGGTGGGCTTCCTTGCAAACACGTCCTCTTGGGTAGGGGTGCCTGTTCTTGTTCTCCCGGCTGTGCAGACCAGAGTGCCGTCCAGCGCGGTGACTAGTGGCCAGGAGCAGGGCCCGGACCCCGCGCGATCCAGTCTTCACGCAGAGAAGGTGGTGGAGGTGGCCACAGGGGCGGGGACAGTTCTAGCCAAACCCCACAGGTCCCAGGAGCCAGAGAGGGTGTGGGATTTGGCGCAGTGCAGACAGCAGGCTGTAGAGGGGTCTGGGCGCAGGGAAGCAGGCGCAGGGGGGGCCCACCCGGCTGAAGAGAAACCCAAAGCCCCTGGGGTGCTGGGGGCAGCCCAGAGAAAAGTGAGGCTCCGCCAGGACAGGCGCTTCCTTCAGCTGCTGCCCTCACGCCCTGCGGAACCCGGGGTCCGACCACCCCGCCCCAGCTCTGCCTCCCCTTCCTGTCGGCTGGATGCGAGGGGCGTGGGAGGAGGGCGAGCACGGCTGGGACCCCCAGAAGGTCACTGCTTGCTGGTGATCTTCTTCTTCCGAGCGGAGACCAGGTCATAGAAGGGGACGCGGGTGATGCTGGCCCTGGAACGTGAGTGGAGGTAGAGGTTGCGGGGGTCCTTGGCAGGTAAGGGGCGGGGGCTCACCAGCCAGAATGGGGAGAGGCGGGGGGGGGGCCACCCGCTCAACCCACTGGGAGGGACGGAGGGGCTTGAGAAGTGGGTGGGCCCTGCCGCGGCCCCGCCCACGACAGGCTCCGCCCCTCACCAACCCATCCCATGGACCACGCCTTCTCAAGACCACGCCCCATGAACCCGCCCCCTCGAGGCCCAGCCCCTTTACTGTCTCTCCATTGGACCTGACCCCCCTCGCCAACCATGCCCCTCGAGGTCCCGCCCCCACAACCCACGAACCACGCCCCCTTATGACCCCGCCCCTTTACTGCTGTCTCTCCATTGGACCTGAACCCCTCGCGACCATGCCCCTCCAGGTCCCGCCCCTCCAGGCCCCGCCCCACCTGATGGCCTCGATCCACTGGTCGCGCTCCTGGGCGCTGGCCGCCGAGATGCGGTAGGACTCGTGCTTGCCCTCCACCACCTTGCCGTCCCCGTCCGTCTTGCAGGCCTTGATCTTCTGGCCCCGGCAGCTGGGGTTGTAGAGCTCCAGGCAGAACTGCAGGGAGGCAGGAGGTCGGGCGGGAGGCGGGGCGTGGGAGGTGGGGTGGACCCTCGTGGACCAAGTACGCCGCGAAGGAGGCTCGGTCCTGCCCTGGGCCTTGTCGGGGACCCTGGGAGGCCTGTCTCGGGGGAGGGGAGCGCTCAGTGTGCCAGGCTCCATCCAGGCCTGACAGATGGGGAAACTGAGGCTCGGAGAGGAGCAGGGACGAGGGTCAGCGGCAGGCTTGGAGAGGACCAGGCCACGCCCTTCGGGAGGCACTGACTTGCCCTGGGGGCGGAGGGACCCTTCCCCCAGTGAGCCAGAGATCCACCGGGGGTGGCGTCCTGGGAGCCCACCCGGTGCAGCCACTCCCCAAACCTACTGGCTTCTTGGGGTCATCCACTTTCTGCACCGAGAGGTTCTCCAGCGGTATGATTCCCCGAGGCTCCTTGTCCTGCATGGGAGGAGGGTGAGAACCGGCTGGAGGGGGCAGGGGGCCAGAGTGGGGCCCCCACCCCCAAAGAGAGGGCCCCCCCACTCTCAGCCCTGGGGGAGGGAAAACTGACTCAGCACTTTTGGCCCATACCCACTGGTGCTCAGGGGTTACTCTCGGCTCTCTGCTCAGGGATCACTCCTGGTGGATTCTGGGGACCATATTGGGGTGCTGGGGATCGGACCCAGGCCAGCCATGTGCAGGGTCAACGCCCTCCCCGCTGGACTGTCTTTCCACCCCTCTAACCCAGAGCCAGCTTTAAACCCTATTTCTGCCATGGATCTGGGTCCAGCCCCTCCCCCGTTGTGACTCAGTTTCCTCATCTGGAAGGTGGGTGTGGAGGTTAGCTCAGGGCTCCCGCTAACCGTGGGCACACGCGCCTGGGGGGCAGGGCGGGCGCGGACCCCACCTGCTCACCGTGGTGTACTCGAAGTAGTAGAGGCAGCTGTCGGTGAGGATGAACCAGCGCCGCTTCCACGTCTTCACGCGGCCCCCTGCGAGAGCCCGTCAGTCCTACCGGCGCCCACCTTACCCCCCTTTGCCCACCCCACTCTCCGGTCCCTGGGACAGCCCAGCATCCTCACGCCCAGCTGCTCGGCCCCTGGGAAGCGGGCCCCAGAGGAGGGTGGGGCGGCCCTGCTCCCCGAATGCCTGTGTGTGTGTGTGCGCGCGCACACGCGTGTGTGGGGGGGGGGTTAACCCGCCTTCCGGATTATTGGCTCGCCAGCAGCCCAGTTTCCTGGCACACCGTCCCTGCTCTGGAAACTGAGGCAGGCACCCCTCAGCCGCACGGGGAGCGGGAAGGGGGCGGGGGGCTGCCAGAGGAGAGAGTGGGCTTCACACGACACCCCGACTCAAGCCCCTGCCCCTGACTTGGAAGGGGGTGCCTGAGGGTGGGGGGGCGCCCTGGGAATTGCGGCGCAATTGCGCCTGACCCCTGCTCCAGGGGAGCCGTGTCCTGCTGCTCTTCCTCCCCGCTTGGGGGTGCCCTGCTCCCCCCCAAACCTGCCTCTGCCACCCCCAAGGTCCTCCGCCCTCTCTGGCCAGGCTGGCCTGGGCTACCTCGTGCCCCAGTGCCGCCCTGCGGGGGTCAGAGACGCTCAGTGTCCATCCCGGTTCCTTCCTGACAGGAAATCTGGGGTCCAACCTCACCCTAAGGATGTGGGTCAGCATCTGTGCGTGGGGCAGGCGTGTGCCGGGTGCCCCCCGTGTGCCCGTGGGTGCTCACCCAATTTCAGCAGCCAGCCCTCGCGGTCGGGGTTGAAGAAGGTGTGTGTCAGGTCGTTGCCGTCGTCCTCGGGGATGGAGAAGGGTTCACTTTTGATGCTGTCGAAGAGGCTCTGTGCCGAGAGGGGCCTGGCTGACTCACTGCCCAGTGCTCCTCGGGCCCCCCCCGGGCCCCCAACGCTCACTCCTGGCTCCCCTGCCCCTATGGGGCCAGGGGCTTCTCTGGGGCATGCCTGGCTGTGCCACACCCAGCCTCTGAAACCCCCCAAGACGCGGTGAAGGTGAAGGCTGCCCCCCGCATTAGCTGCTGTTGGTACAGCCACTCAACACTTGTGTGACCCTGGGCCTGACCATGGCCTCTCTGGGCAGCTGGACCCGTCTGAGAAGTGAAGGGAGTCTGCCCAGCTGGGGCTGTGTGGAGGGAAGGGGGCCCCCAGGGCCACAGGTCTCCCCAAAGCCAGTGGAAGGTGAGGATGGGGGTGCACCTCCCAGCTGGGTCTCCATCCCCCCATCCCTGCACCCCAAGAACAGCCCTGGGGAAAGGAACCACCACTTCCCCTTGCCGGCAGCGGCACACGGCTCCAAACCCCCCCTCCAGATCCCTGGGCTCTGTCTGCACCCCGAGAGTGCCAGGAAGCCTGGCTGGGCCTCCGCCCACATCCACAGGATGCGGGGAGGCCGGGAGGGGGGCTTCAGGGCCGGAACAGCACCCAACGGGTACCTGAGCGCCCACACCTCTGTGTCCGCATAGACGAGAGCGCGGCTGACCCGTTGCCTCATGGACACGCCCCTGCCTGGCCTTCAGAGAACCCTCGCCACAGCCGAGGCCCACCCCAGCCCTCACTGGGTGGTGACCACATTCTGCAGCGCGGCCACCTTTCAGTACTGGTGGCTGTGCAGGCAGCCTCGGGCCTTGGGCCGTTCCAGAGATGACTCACATCCGGCTAACCAAAGCGTTTTTGCAGGGATGTGGTTAGAGGGTCAGAGCGGGTGGAGCTTCCCAGCATGATGGAGGGAGGCCTGGAGCTTCAGGGCCATGTTGGCCACAATCTGGGGGAGACTGTGCCAGAGAGGATTCCACAAGGGGGGCGGGCCACCGAGAGATGGGGAGCCAGGCAAAGGCCTCACCGCACAGAGCACCTGGATCAAGCCGAACCTGAAGCCCTTAGCCCTGAAGCCACGCCCACCTCCTCCTCTGTCCTTGTGGGCCAAGGTATAAAATAAAACAGGCTGGGGTGGCTTCAAATCTGGGGGCTCCTCGCCAATGACGAGCCCCTGGCCAGCTTCCTGCCCTGTGGGTCTGTTTCCCTGCAGGGGGAGGACCTGCTTCTGTCCCTGCTGGGGCCAGGCCATGTCCAAGGGCATCCATGGGGCTGGGGCCCAGGGGATCCGGGCAGCCCAGGGCAGTGATGCTTGGAGCTGGAAGGCGGAGCCTCTGCTTCTACCTCAGTTTCCCCCTGTAACACTACAGGGTGGGGCTCCCTCCTCCTTCTTGTCCTCCGCCTGCCCTCCCCCACAGCCTCTCTCTGCCTTTATCGGGGGAATCAGGCGCTTGAAAAATCTTCCACCTCATACTGAGCCAATTCCACGGGGGCACCTCAGATGGAGCGGGTGTCCCAGCTCCACCTGCTCCAGATGAAACCCTGGTGGCCACGAGCTTCCAGAAGCAAAACCCAGGCACGCGGGTTCAGGGACTAAGACTCCAGGCCACATGGCAGCAGCAGAGATGGGCCGACCCTCCTCATCTCCCTGCCCCCTGGGGGTCCCAGCTGTCACATCTCTGATCTGCCTCCAGAGGCCATCCCAGCTGATCCAGAGACTCCCAAATGACTCTCAAAACAGATCAGCTCCCTATAGAGATGTCTCTGGACCCCGACCATTGACAATTTTAGAATTCCAGAAGCATGCGGCCAATTTTGCGGCCGCATGACCTCTCTGATATTCATAATAAGAAATAGCAAATTATCTAGCCTCTGCTCCTGTCAGGAAGGCTTGAATGGTGGTGGGAAAAATCGAAATAATGGTGATGGGAACACGTCATGGTGATGGGATTGGTGCTGAAATATTGAATGTGATCAATCAACATGAACAACCTCATGAAAAGAAAATTTAAAAAATTACCTTCCCCCTCTTCACAGGGGATCCCACTAGGACGCTCCTTCAAGGGCGCACACAAGGACAGGGCTGCGCTCATGGGCACGTTCTTGCCCCAGAACTGCATGACTCGTCCCCCTCCCCCCACCAGCCCTCCAGGCACATCTTCACCTTGGCCAGAGACTGTTCCACAGTTGCTTTCCCTCGGCCAGGCCATTGGGCAGTGTGAAGTGTGGGCCAGGGGGTGATGGGGAGGGCTGGGGCCCAGGCCATGCACGCAGAGGGACCAGAGTCAGTCCCTGTCACCACATGATCTGGCAGGCACCACCAGGTAAAGCCCTAGTGACCCCCAGCACTTCCGGGGAGATTTCCCCCTGGGGAAAAATAAGCTGCCCAAGTTCATTCACTCTTGGGGTTGGAGCAATAGCACAGCAGGTAGGGCGTTCGCCTTGCACGCATCCGACCCGGGTTCGATTCCCAGCATCCCATAGGGTCCACCGAGCACCGCCAGGAGAATTCCTGAGTGCAGAGCCAGGAGTAACCCCTGAGCATCTCTGGGTGTGACCCAAAAAGAACAACAACAACAAAAAGAAACCCCAGTGGCCACAAGCTTCCAGAAGCAAAACCCAGGGACGCGGGTTCAGGGACTGAGACTCCAGACCATAAGGTGGCAGAAAGAGATGGGCCAACCCTCCTCATCTCCCTGCCCCCTGGGGGTCCCGCTGTCATGCCCCTGATCTGCCTCTGGGCGTCATCTCAGCGCATCAGCGACCTTGACCCAGAGACTCCCAAATGACTCTCAAAACGGATCAGCTCCCTATAGAGATGTCTCTGGACCCCGACCATTGACAATTTTAGAATTCCAGAAGCATGCGGCCAATTTTGCGGCCGCGTGACCTCTCAGATATTCATAATAAGAAATAGCAAATAAATTATCTAGCCTCTGCTCCTGTCAGGCAGGCTTGAATGGTGGTGGGAAAAATCGAAATAATGGTGATGGGAACGCGTCACGGTGATGGGATTGGTGTTGAAATATTGAATGTGATCAATCAACATGAACAACCTCATGAAAAGAAAATTTAAAAAATTACCTTCCCCCTCTTCACAGGGGATCCCACCTGGACGCCCCCTCAAGGGTGCACACGAGGGCAGGGCTGCGCTGATGGGCGGGTTCTTGCCCCAGAACTGCATGACTCACCCCCCTCCCCCCCCCAGCCCTCCAGGCACGTCTTCACCTTGGCCAGAGACTGTTCCACAGTTGCTTTCCCTCGGCCAGGCCATTGGGCAGTGTGAAGTGTGGGCCAGGGGGTGATGGGGAGGGCTGGGGCCCAGGCCAGGCACGCAGAGGGACCAGGGTCAGTCCCTGTCACCACATGGTCTGGCAGGCACCACCAGGTAAAGCCCTAGTGACCTCCAGCACTTCCGGGGAGATTCCCCACTGGGGAAAAATAAGCTGCCCAAGTTCATTCACTCTTGGGGTTGGAGCAATAGCACAGCAGGTAGGGCATTTGCCTTGCACACATCTGACCCGGGTTCGATTCCCAGCATCCCATAGGGTCCACCGAGCACCGCCAGGAGAATTCCTGAGTGCAGAGCCAGGAGTAACCCCTGAGCATCTCTGGGTGTGACCCAAAAAGAACAACAACAACAAAAAGAAACCCCAGTGGCCACAAGCTTCCAGAAGCAAAACCCAGGGACGCGGGTTCAGGGACTGAGACTCCAGACCATAAGGTGGCAGAAAGAGATGGGCCAACCCTCCTCATCTCCCTGCCCCCTGGGGGTCCCAGCTGTCACATCTCTGATCTGCCTCCAGAGGCCATCCCAGCTGATCCAGAGACTCCCAAATGACTCTCAAAACGGATCAGCCTCCCTACACAGATGTCTCTGGATCCCGACCATTGACAATTTTAGAATTCCAGAAGCATGCGGCCAATTTTGCGGCCGCATGACCTCTCTGATATTCATAATAAGAAATAGCAAATAAATTATCTAGCCTCTGCCCCTGGCAGGCAGGCTTGAATGGTGGTGGGAAAAATCAAAATAATGGTGATGGGAACACGTCATGGTGATGGGATTGGTGTTGAAATATTGAATGTGATCAATCAACATGAACAACCTTATGAAAAGGAAAATTTAAAAATTATCCTCCCCCTCTTCACAGGGGATCCCACTAGGACGCCCCCTCAAGGGCGCACACGAGGGCAGGGCTGCGCTCATGGGCACGTTCTTGCCCCAGAACTGCATGACTCGACCCCCTCCCCCCACCAGCCCTCCAGGCACGTCTTCACCTTGGCCAAAGACTTTTCCACAATTGCTTTCCCTTGGCCAGGCCATTGGGCAGTGTGAGGTGCAGGCCGGGGGGGGGGGGGATGGGGAGGGCTGGGGCCCACGCTGGGCACGCAGAGGGGCTAGAGTCGGTCCCTGTCACCACACGGCCTGGCAGGCACCACCAGGTAAAGCCCTAGTGACCTCCAGCACTTCCGGGGAGATTCCCCACTGGGGAAAAATAAGCTGCCCAAGTTCATTCACTCTTGGGGTTGGAGCCAGAACACAGAGGGGAGGATGTTTGCCTTGCATGCAGCCGACCCCTTTTCGATTCTCAGCATCCCATAGGGTCCACCGAGCACCGCCAGGAGAATTCCTGAGTGCAGAGCCAGGAGGAACCCCTGAGCATCGCCGGGTGTGACCCAAAAAGAAAAAATAAATTCATTCACTCTAAGCAGTAGGACCTCTTGGCCAGGCGCAGCTTGGTAAGACCCGCAGGGAGTCCGTGCCTTGCACGTGGGGAAACTGAGGCTCAGGGAGGCAAGAAAACCACCCAGATCCTACAGGTCTCCTGGGGACGCCCAGGATGAGGACCAGTCCTCAGCACTATACCCCGGAAGCTTCTAGATCCCTAAGCTTCTCCAAGAACACGGGTCTCCTGCGGACCCTGCAAGCCTCATTTTCTCGCTGATCCCCGCCTGCTTGGAGCCAGGAGGCAGATCCGCTTCACCTGGAGTCACCCTGCTTGGAAACGGGGGTTGCCCCTCCTAGAAGGGGGGGGCACATACCTCCCCACCCCCAGTGCCCGCCTCCCCCTGGCTGCCGGGGCAGGTTAATAAGTAATTCTCAGACCTCCCAGCAGGGCGAGAAGCTAAATTAATAGGTCTGGAAGCACGAGAGAAGTTTCAAGCGTCATACAAACTGTGTGGCGTTGTTAACGGACACTGGAATGGGAAGAAGCACCCAGAGAAAAGTGCCGCCCACCCCGGCCCAGGCGGAGGGCAGGGATCAGGCTCAGGCGACTCATAGGCCATGTGGATTCCTGTCCCCCGGCCACCCCCAGTCGCCCCCGGCTGCCTCTAGCCACCTCCAGCTGCCCGCCCCCTTCTCTGATGTCTATGGAAGCTTCAAACCCTGGGCTGTTCTGCTCTTCCTACAAGGAGTGTGTGTGTGGGGGTGTCACATGTCCATACGCCCCGAAGAAGCTGGGCTTGAGCGATAGCACAGCGGGTAGGGCGTTTGCCTTGCATGCGGCTGACCCAGGTTCGATTCCCAGGATCCCATATGGTCTCCCGAGGAGGAGACCGAGCACCGCCAGGAGAGATTCCTGAGTGCATGAGCCAGGAGGAACCCCTGAGCATCCCCAGGTGTGACCCAAAAAGCAAAAAAAAAAAAAAGAGGCTAGGGTCCACCAGGACGATACCCGGCAGCACCTGGAATGGAACTCGGGGCCTGGTCCCCTCACAGCTGCTCGGGGGCTCAGGCCTGGCTCTCGGGCACCCGTGGAGGGGTCTGCAGTGACCCCACACTCAGCAGGCAAACGGGGATGATGGGATTTGAGCCTGGTATTCCCGCCCCCGAGCCAGGTCCCTAACCACACCTCTCTGAGACTAGGGAAGGGGGTGGAGGCGTACGGCCCTTCTCAGACCCCAGGGAACCCCAAAACCTTCCTTCCAGGCTGAGCCAGCAGAGCTGGGGATGGGGCTTAGGGCTGTGAGATCCTGGGTTCGATCCCCACACCCCAATACACGCACAGACTGAGCCGGGAACTCATAGCCCAGCCTCGCCCCGTGGCTCTGCTGGGCGGGGCTAGAGCGGGAATGAACGTCCTCGCGTTCTAAGCCAGGGCACATGCCTCCGTCTGGCCTCCGTGTTGTCCCCCGAGACAGGCACACTCAAGGCACCCTTGAGGCTGCTCTGCTGCCTGCCACGGTCTCCACACGCCAGCCCCAGAAGGCCCTCTTGGGTGCCTCTCTGTTTCCCACCAGGACTGAGTTCTGAATGGCCTTTCCTGGCGGCTCTTTGGGGAAAAACTCCAATTCATCCCTCAAGGCCCTGTTCAAAGGTCACCTCCTTTATGGAGTCCTCCAGGATGGCACCTTCCCTTGATTCTTGCCCCCCACGTCCTAAGGAAAGTGACGGACGTGTCCTCCGGGTGCCCACAGCTCTGTTCCCTGGCCAGCATGGCCCGAGTCAGGCAGAGCTGTAATTCAGTCTGGTCGGTTGCCGCCTCCTCTCTGGGGACCTGCCCCAGGCCTGGTGCCTTGTGGCTCAGGTGGGGGTTCCCCCCCCAACACTGCACACACAGACCGTTTCCTCTTCTGCAGGAAGGAGGCTGAGCCTGGCTGGGCATGTCCAGCCCTGACCGGTGGGCAGTCTCGGGAACAGGACCCTCTTTCTGGGTGATGCAGTGATGAGCCCAGAGGCCCTTGTCCTGACCCTGGGGCCTGGTCTGCTCCCGCCATCCTCCTGCGAAAGGCCACTTAGAGGCTGGGGGTGGGGCTTAGTGGCCTTGTGTGCTCGAGGTCCCGAGTTGGACTCCCGGCATCCCACATCCAAAAGGGCCACTTGGCTTTGTTTTGGGGGCCACACCCAGCTGTGCTCAAGGATCACTCCTGGCGGGGGACCTGGGGTGGGATTGAACCTGGGTCGGCCCCCTGCCAGGCAAGCGCCCTCCCTGCTGTACTGTCGCTCCAGCCCCCAAAATGGGCCACCTGAAAAGGCACGGAGGCACAAGCTCCTGGGAGGGACTCCCTGAGCAGTGCTCCGGGGCCGGTCCCCACGATTCTTGATAACCTTGCCAGAAGCTCCAGAGTGAGCCCCAGCGGTGAAGCTCTGCTGAGGCCCAGGGCTGCGGGCGGCCACCAGGACAGCCCTGGCCGTGTTGGGGGGTGCATGTGACTGGGAACTCCAGGTGTGCGCGCCTAACCCTGGGCTAGCACTCGGCTCCTTGGTGGGGGTCTGTTGGCACAGCCCCCCTTGGAGGTGGGCTCTTGGAGGAATAGCATCCTGCCTCGGTGCCTATGGCTTCCCTTGTGCCCACGGCAACCCTCCCACTGCCCACAGCACACCCCCCCCAGTGCTTTGCAGTGTCCACAGTGATCCCATGCCGATGGTGCCCACCCATGCCCACAACACCCCCATGGCACCCCCTATACCAATGGTGCCCACTCATGCCCACAACACCCCCATGGCACCCCCTATACCAATGGTGCCCACTCATGCCCACAACACCCCCATGGCACCCCCTATACCAATGGTGCCCACTCATGCCCACAACACCCCCATGGCACCCCCCCATGCCGATGGTGCCCACCCATGCCCACAACACCCTCAGTGCCCATGGCAATTGGCCCTGATGCCTACGGCGCTCCCCGTGCCCGAGATGTGTCCCCACACCCACGGCCACCCCCGTACCCGCAGCTGCTCCTCGGGCAGGTCGCTGCCACCGTTGATGCCGCGGTTCATGGACACGAAGCGCTCGAAGGGCGGCCGGTCGCGGACGTTGGGGTTGTGCAGGCTGGTGTTGAGCATGATGATGGAGAAGGAGAGCACGTAGCAGGTGTCTGCGGGCGGGCGGGTGGGCAGGTGGCTCAGGGCCCGGGCGGGGGGGGGAGACGGGCGCTCTCCACCCACCCACCCTCGGGGTCCCCAGGCCAGAGCTAGCCCCAGAAGGGCCCCGACGGTGGCTCTGCCCTCACACTGCCCCGGGTGGCTCTGCGGGGGCTCTGTGGTGGCTGCTGGCCCAGAGATGCTAGAACCCCACTCTCCGCCTGGCCTTGGTGGGGGCCCCTGACCTCCCTGAGCCTCGGCTGACGCCACACAAGATGGTTCAGCCGAGTTTCCCGAGGGTGGGGCCCGGGCCAGTCCCTCCTGCATCTTCCCCTGGGACCACCTCCCCCGGCAGGCCTGGACCGCCAGGAACTATCTCAGGGAAAGGCCATGAATGAATGAATGAGTGAATGAATGAATGAATGGATGAGTGAGTGGATGAATGAGTGAGTGGCTGATCCTGGACCGGGTCCTCCGCCAACGCTACCAACTGAGCTCCCCGCCGCCCAGATCTCAAATCCAAGGACTCGTCGGGATGCGACTCAAACCCAGGATGTGAACATTCTCCCCCCACCCCCACCCAAAGATCTTTACTGAGCACCTACTTAGTGCCAGCTGCTGGCACTGCAGCACCGGCATGCAAATCTCTGAGGGCATTTAGGGGCAGCCCCTGCAGCTGAGGACAGCCCTAAGCATGCAGGAGTGCTAAGAACCAGCATCACGGTTGCCATGGTAGTGTCAGACACAGAGCAGGGTGCTTGCCTGCCCACGCGGTGTGGGGGGAACGGCCTTCCCGGTACCCTCTGGTCTCTCCATGCTGCAGATGCTGCTTTATACATTTAGACCTTGGCTTGAGCGAGAACGCTCCCCCCAGGGGCCCTTCCCTTGACTGTCCAGAGAACTCCTATGCACCCTTCAAGACCCCAGCGGGACCCACCATCCCTGGGAAGCCATCTTGGACCTCTGGCGTTCCCGTTCCTGCCCTCCCCATGCCAGCCTGGCGGGGCTGCCGGGCTGAGGGGCCCAAGTCCCGCATGCCGGCACCTGTGGACTGGAAGACACCTGGGTTGCAGAGACAGTATCGGGCGGCGAAGGTCTCCATCATTCGGTCGATCTTCTGGGCCTCCCCTGGCAGCCGGAAACTCCACAGGAACTGCCTGGAAGGGATGGGGCTGGGCAGTGGGGGGCGGGGGCTCTCAGGGGTCCCGACCACTGCCTGCCTGCCTCGGGCTGCCTGGACCTTGTCAGTGCGATGGCTCCCGGCTCTCCCACTTCCCTTTGCAGTGGCTCATGGAAGGACTTTCTGCCTGGAATGGGGGCGGGGGGGCTGAGTCTGTGCCCCCTGGTCAGCCTGGGGTCCTGGGGTCCCTCCTGCTTCCTCGGGAAGGGGGTCCCAGGCGCGGGCTGGCGGTGACCATCCTGATGGGGTTCTGGGGGGAGGCCCGCGCCTGCACCTTCTGCATCTCCCCCGGCCTCCCCCCAGCCCAGAGCTGGCCTGGACTCTCAGGAACGGCTCACGGAAACGCCAGTGAATGAATGAGTGAGTGAATGAATGAATGTGGGAAACTTCTCAGCACTTGGCTCCCTTAGAGAGCCTGGGGTCCGAGGGAAAGCCGTGTGGCAGAGACCTGAGGCTTCTTTCCTCTCTGCCTTGCAAACTCCTACTCACGCGTGAAAGCCCCAGCCAGTGCTCTCCCTCAGTGCTCCAGGCATTGCTGGAACAGCGAGACCCAGCCGACCAGCTCTGTGCTCACTCAGGGGCCAGTTCCGAACCCGCTTGCCTCAGGGCCTCCACCCAGGAGGAGGGAGCTACCGTTATGATCCCTGGTTCACCACGGGAAAACTAAGGTGGAGGGAGGCTTGGCATGTGTGGGCCCGTTTATGGGTGCACGTGTGCCCGTGTGTGTATGCGAGCCCGTGTGTATGTGAGCGCCCAGATGTATGTATGTGTGTGCCCGCATGTGTGCATACCCGGGTGTGTGTGTACTCATATGTGTGTACCATGCCGTGTGTCTGTCCGCCTGTGTGTGTGCGTGCACATGCATGCCCATGTGTGTATGTCCCCATGTGTGTGACCATGTGTATGTGTGTGTACCCATGTGTGCATGCCCATGTGTGCACATACCTGTGTGTGCATGCTCATATGGATATACCCTGTGTGTGTACCCATGTGTTTGCATGCCTGTGTGTCTGTGTGTGCCTATGTGTATATGTACCCATGTGTGTGTATGTGCCCACGTGTGTGCATTCTGTATGTGTGCCATTGTCCATGTGTGTGTGCCCGTGTGTGTATGCCTCTGTGTATGTGCACCCGTGTGTCTGTGTGCCCACATGTGTGCCCATGTGTATGTGTGTGTACCCATGTGTGCATGCCCATGTGTGTGCCTCCGTGTGTGTGCCCGTGTGTGCCTGCTCATATGTGTATACCGTGTCTATGTGAGTGTCCGTGTGTGCATGCCCGTGTGTTTGTGTGTGCCCATGTGTGTGCATACCTGTGTGTGCATGCTCATATATATATACCTTGTCTGTGTGTGTGCCCGTGTGTGTGCATGCCTGTGTGTCTGTGTGTGTGCCCATGTGTATGTGTACCCATGGATGTGTATGTGCCTACGTGTGTGCATTCTGTATGTGTGCCATTGTCCATGTGTGTGTGCCCGTGTGTGTGTGTGTGCACACGTGTGTGTATGTGTGGCTGTTGGCCTGGCATCCCTGTGCATGCAGGAGGGAGCTGGCCAGTCTGTCTGTCCTGCCGCAGCTCCTACCCAATGCCCAGGCAGTTGGCAGAAGGTCAAGAGCAACAGTGAAACCCCCGGGGGAAAATCACAGTGACGCAGCCGCCACAGCAGCGGCCCGCGCTTATCCGAGTAGCCTGGGCAAGGCAGAGGTGACGGAATGGTGGTGACAGCGATTCAGTGTGGGTTGGTTTGGGTCGGCCACGCCTGGCGGTGCTCAGGGCTGACCCCTGGCTCTGTGCTCAGTGCTCCGTCCGATGGTGCTCGGGGGACCATGTATGGGGCGGGGGACTAGACCAGGGCCGGCTGCGCGCAGAGCGAGCTCCTTACTCCCTGTGCAGTCCCTCCAGCACCCAGGACTCAACTTGACCAAATGATTCTGAGGGCAAAGGAGCCGAGACCGCCTCTCCCCCGAAGCCCCGCTCCTGGGGCCGGTACCGGCGTTCACTTGCTCCTCCCCTCCTCTTAGCCTGACGCCTGGCTCTGGTTAGAACGGCAGTGACGTGCGCGTCCAGTCCTGCCCGCCACCCCGGGGCCGCACCTCTCACCTGAGCGCCTGCACGAGGTTGAGGTTGGCGAACTCATGGCAGTCCACGAAGGCCTGGAGGACCTGCAGGTTGACGGGGTCCCTGGGGGGAGGCAGGGTCATGTAAGAATGGCGGGGGGCAGACGTCTGTCCCTCTGGGGAGCTTGGGGGAAGAGCCCCTTGTCAGTAGCCAGAGGGGTCTACTGAAGCCGCTCTTGTGCCCAGGAGACTCCGTGGCCATCATTTGTCATGGCTGTCCCTTCTCCCTCCCTCCTAGCTCCCTTTCAGCCAACCTGTCCCAGGGCCTTTGCACCTGCCGCCCAACCAAGGAAAGCTCTGGCCCCCAGGTGTGTGCATGGCTCACCTTTAAGTTCCAATCCGATACTACCTTCTCCCTGAGCCCCTTCCCACCCATTCTCCCCTTCCTTTCCCTCTGGGGTGATTTCCATGGAGGTCACATGCTTCGCTTACAGAGACAGCACATTTGGGGTTTAGTGACTCACCCCCCACTCCCACAGAGGACAGAAGGTCTTTTGGGGGAGATTGGGGGGGTATATCTGGGTATAAGCATCATTGCCAGTGATGCTCTGTCCTGTTTCTGTGCTCAGGGCTCGCTCCTGGTAGTCCTCAGGGGACCATAGGAGGTGTGGGGGGTTGAACCGGTTAACTGCATGCAAGGCAAGCGCCCTACCCACTGTGCTATCTCTTCAGTCCCAAGGGCAGGAGAGTTTTGTTTTTTGGTTATTTTTCTTTTCTTTTTTTTTTCTTCTTGGGTCACACCCGGTGATGCTCAGGGGTTCCTCCTGGCTCTGCACTCAGAAACTACTCCTAGCAGTGCTCAGGGGACCATAAGGGATGCCGGGGATGGATTCCGGGTCAGCGCGTGCAAAGCAAACGCCCTCCCTGCTATACTATCGCTCTGGCCCCAAGGGCAGTTTTATCGTCTTATTTCCTGGCTTCCACTCAGGACTTCGAACGGTTCCTGGCAGAAAGTAGGGACTGAAGAAAACAGTTGGTGAATGAATGACGGAAGGAAGAAATGAAGGCAGGAGGGCCTCGGCTGTCTGTAGAGGAGTGGTCGGGGGTGTCCCCCCACCCCACGAAATGACTTGTTAAACATAATCCATGCCCTCCCTGCAGGCACATACACACACATGCACGCACACGCATATGAGCACACGTGCACACACACGCAGACACACCGTGCACCCTCGCTCCGCCCCCCCCACCTCCGCCCTTACCTCTCCCCTAAGTAGGTGCCAATGGCCGTCTTGTTGAGCCCCTCCCCCTTGTACAGGAACTGGGCGATTTCCTGGATGTCGGTGCTCAGCAGCTTGTGCTCGGTGAGGTACTGGATGCCCTAGAGGGCACAGGCGCCCGTGAGCAGCCCCGCGGCAGGGTGGCAGGAAGAAGGGAGGGGGGCCCAGGATTCTGCCATCTGCCCTGGGAAACGGATCCCCTTGGTGTTTTGGGGGATGGAGGCACACCCAGCTGTGCCCAGGGCTGACTCCTGGCTCTGTGCTCAAGAATCCCACCTGGCAGGCTTTGAGAACCCTGGCGGGTGCCGGGCATTGAGCTAGGGTCAGCCACTTGCAAGGCAAGCACCCTCCCCACTGTGCCATCGCTTGGGCCCTGGCTCTGTGCCTCCTAGAAGCGCCTGGGGCTGGGAGGCAGCTCAGTGGTTAGCACTAGTGAGCCTGAGATGGAGCGTCTGACCCTGGTGTGCCCAGAGCACTGAGCGTGAGCCCGGCAGCTCTATCTGTGCCCAGGCAGTGGTGCCCCAGGCCCGAGAGATCTGGGGCGGCTTTGCAGCCAGGTGAGTGTGGGCCCCGCCGAAGGGCCTGGCTCAGGAGGCACACAGAGAAACACACACTGGGCATGCACGTCACAACTGGGGCCCACGTGAGTGCCCACAGGGCAGGGCAGGCCCAGGGGAACTGCAAGTTCCCGGGAGGGTGTGTTTCTGCATGCTCCCGGGAGGGTGTGTTCCCTCGAGTTCCTGTTCTCCCCAGAGCTGCCCTCCAGCAGGCTCTGGTTGACTCTGTGATCTCTGACTCAGTCGCTTTAGGATGCCGTGATTCAGCGACTCCTTCTGTCCCCTCGACATGCATGTGATTTTAACATAGTGTTTCACTGGTCTCGCTCAGGATCGGGGTCCACGTTACAAATATGAGAGAAAACAGCCGCTCACATATGGGCTCACACATGCCGACCCGGGACCTGCTCTTGGAGCCTGTCACTCTGACGAGGCAGGTGCGTCCCAGTTCCTCTTGGAGAAGAGGTGGCTGGGGTGGGCGTCAGGCAGAGGGCTCGGAGTGGGAGAGCACCTCTGGCTACCCAGCACATGTACATATGAGCACGTGTGTGCATGTGCGTATGCATGTGTGTGCCCACGCATATGTATGTGTGCATGCGGGCATCTGGGTGGGATTTGTGTGTGGTGCGTGTCCGTGTGCAGGTATGCATGTGCATTTGGAATGGGTGCATGTGTGGACGTGGGTGTCTGTGTGTGCATGCATGTGGAGCTGCATGCATATGTGTGGGCGATGTGGGTGTGATTGTGTATGCGTGTCTGTGTATGTGTGTGTACGTGTGTGAGATTGTGTGTGGTGCGTGAATGCATGTGTGTAGGGGTGTGTGAATGTATGCATGCCTGTGCACATGCGTGTGCATGTATATGTGGATGGGTGGGCAGCGATGCCTGTATTCATGTATGTACATGTGTGCACATATATGTGGGTATGTGCATACGTATGCATATACATGTATGCATGTGAGTGTACGTGTGTGTGGGTTGTAGTCTGTGCAGATGTATGTGTGTGTGGTCTGGGTGGTGGCAGCAGAGTCTGGCAGTCTCATCTGTGGTGGTGGGGGAGGGGTGGGGGGGACACTGGTTTGTGGGGGGCAGTGGCCGCCCTCGAGGCCAGGACGGTCCGTCTCCAGGCCCCCCCCCCAGTTGCTCCTGCCACTGACCCCACATCCGGCCTGTGGTTCTCTCCATTTTCTGTTCCTGCAGGACCCAGCTGGGGTGGGGGCGGGTCTGGGACTGGTGGGCCTCAGCTCCTCACCGGGACTGTGGGTGCCCTGGGGGAAGGGCTTGGAGGAGGCGCCCGGCACGCGGCTTCCAGAGCCCCCCGCCCTACCTTCATGGGATCCATGTTGAATTTCTTCCGCCCGATGCAAAGCTCCTTCTCCTTCTGGGCCATCCGGCTGCAGACATAGGACATGAGCGTGCACAGCCTCAGAGCTCAGGGACCCACTCTGCTGCCCAGGGCACCCTGCCTGGGTGTGAGCCAACACTCCCCAGAAGACCCAGGGCTTGTTTCAAATCCCAGGGGAGACTGAGAAATGAGGGGCTGTGGGGAAATCCCAGGCTCCGGGTCCAGAGTCCTGGGGCGCTCAGCGCTCAGCCACTCGGTGTCCATCACTTCCTCTCTCTGGGCCTCAGTTTTTCTCATCTGTGAAATGGGGCTGCCCTCGCCACTGTGTCCCAATGCTATCCAAGGCTCGAGGCCGTGGTCTCTGTCAACAGTGCTGGTGTGTGTGTGGGGAGGGTGCGAGGCAGGATCTGAAATCAGCACTGTCCACGTCCTCTGTGTGTGTGTGTGTGTGTGTGTGTGTGTGTGTGTGTGTGTGTACAAGAATGACAGAGCTCCGCAGCGTCAGGGGAATGGGGTGGAGGTGGCAGGGCCGGGTGGGGGACCTTGGGATGCCCTAGGGGAGGAATCTGCTCAGGACGAGACTGCACAGTGAGGAAACTGAGGCTCAGAGAGCAAGGGGCTGCTCCAGGCCACAGAGCGGGAGTGCTATTCCCGTAGGGGGTGACACCTACGTGTGGGGTCCATGGGCGCCTTCTGCCCTTGTCCTCTCTCTTTCCTCCCGGACCCCCCAGGGACGAGAGGATGGGGTTATCACTCACAGCTGGGACTCCTGGGGGCCCAGACCAGACCACTGGGGTAGAGTCTTGGGGGTCCCTGTTCCTGCCTCTCCCTTGGGTCCCCCCTTCTTCCCGATGGCCTTACCTCTCCTCGGCCGTCTCAAAGCAGTCGATCTGGGCAAACACATCGGCGATCTCCTCCTTCAGCTTCTGCAAGGTGAGGGGAGAGTCAGGGACACCTGGGCCACGGAAACGGTTTGGAGACCCTCCCCCACAAACCCTTGCACCCTTAGACGTGTCCTGGAAGCATCCTGGGAGCATCTCTGGGGCTGGGCAGGCAGAGCCCGGGGCCGGGGCCGGACCATGGCCGCTTGGGTGAGAAGCCTCCGCGGTATCGAGGGCCGGCACATGGCAGGTGCCCAGGGAAGACCCCCTGTCCACTGCTGCCCTCTGGGCCTGGCAGCTGAGCCCACACATGGGGAGTCCCCTGGGAATTCTGTCCTTCCCTCTCCCAGGGATGCAGAGGCTGAAGCTGGCTGTGCACTGGGGTACATCTGAGTTTGGGGCAGACTGGGTGGGGGAGGAGGGGTGTGGCACACATGGGCATGTATACATATGAGCACATGCATGTGTGTTGCATGTATGTGCACGTCTGTGAATGTGAGTTTCTGTGCATGTGTGTGTATGTGCAAGTGTGTCGTGTGTATGTGTGTCTGGGTGAGTGTGTGTATGTGTGTTGCATGAGTGTGCACGTGTGTGAGTGTAAGTGCATCTGCATGTGTGAGAGCTTGTGTGTGAGTGTATGCATATGTGTACGTGTGTGTGCATGTGTGTCTATGCTTGTACATGTAAGCATGTCTGTGTGTGTCCCTGTGTGTGTGTCTGCATGAGTGTTGCATGAGTGTGCACATGTGTGAATGTGAGTGCATGTGTGTGAGTGTACGCATATGTGTGTGTGAATGTGTGCATGTGTGTCTATGCTTGGACAGATGAGCATGTCTGTGTGTGTCTGTGTGATTGTGTGCATGTGACTGTGTGTGCATGCATGTGAGTGTGTGCGTATCAGTGTATGTGCATGTGTGTGCACCTGGATGTCTTCCAGAAGCTGCTTCCGGTGCCATTTGATCTTCTCCAGCTCCTCGGTCTCCACTTTGCTGAGCTCCTCTGCATCTGGAACGAGACCCGAAGCCACTGCCCGCCTCCATCATTGGGCTCCAGCTGACCATCACATTCCCTGCCCTCTCCACCCCCCACAACATGCCCACCCTGTCCACTCAGGCCTCTGTCCACTCAGATACTCGCTAAAGGCGTTCCTACTCCCCTTCCCTTTATTTACCCCTCACAGGATCATGCGTCTCTCCTCTTCTTCTTTTCTCACACCCATTGGTGCTCAGGGTTGACTCCTGGCTCTGTGCTCAGAGATCACTCCTAGCGGGCCCAGGGGACTATATGGGATGCCGAGGATTGAATGGGATCGAACGGGTCTGCCGCGTACAAGGCAAGGGCCCTCCCTCTCGTCCTATCGCTCCAGCCCATCAGGCACCTTTCATAGATTCACTGATTTATTGTCGCAACCAGAAACTGATGGAAGTCCCTCCGCCATGCACACATCCTATTGGCCAATTTTCGTCACGTGGTATGGATCCTGTTCCCCCCAAACTCTATTGGCCAGTTTTAGTCACGTGACCACGGCTGTGAACCACTGGGAAATGAGGATCTAATCCTCATACCGTTCCTATATAAAACGAGGACCGTGGGATGGGGTGGGGGCACTTTTAAACGTTTCTGCGGGGATTCTGGGCTACACTCAGTAATGCTCGGGGCTCACTCCTGGCAGGCTTGGGGACCCGTGTGTATGTTGGGGATCGAACCCAGGTTGGCCACATGCAAGGCGAGCGCCCTGCCCGCTGTACATCACTCTGGGCCCTGGGTAGGTCATTTGACAGCTTTTGCCATAGACACCGACGCTCAGAGGGGTGAGGTGTCCTGACCGCGAGTGCGGGATGGGTTTCCGAACCAGAACGGGACTGAGGGTGAGGATCAGGAGATAAGGAGCCGAAGGGGGCCAGGCACCCAGCCAGCAGGCCTGAGACATGCGGTGAGGGCCCAACACACAGTCAAGATGCTCTGTGGTCCTGCCCAGCTCACCTCTCTGGCTCCTTCACGCAGCCTTGGTCACGGATGAGCTGTTTGGTGCCACTTACTCCACAGAAGAGCTGCAAAGGAGGCTCCTGGACCCGAGTCTTTTTTCAGACCCGGACCCTATAGGCTGAGTCCTGTGGCTGTGTCCCCAGCAGGAAGGGACCCCAAAACTCCGTGAGAGCATGTGTGTGTGTGGTCATTCCCCCTGGTTGAGCAGCCAAGTGGTGTCTCTCCACTCACTGAACTCAGTGAGTCATGAACCAACCAGGTCTGAGCAAAGCCATCTGCCTCTAGTGACACCTGGGTAGGTCATTTGACAGTTTGACCAGGTGGCCAAACCCCAGCCACCCACTGCTGTCACCCAGGGACCCTCAGCTCACACCTCTTCTTTTTTTTTGTGCTTTTTTGGGGGTCACATCTGGCAATGCACAGGGGTTACTCCTGGCTCTGCACTCAGGAATCACCCCTGGCGGTGCTCAGAGGACCCTATGGGATGCTGGGAATCGAACCCATGTCGGCCGCTTGCAAGGCAAATGCCCTACCCACTGTGCTATTGCTCCAGTCCCCACACCGCTTCTTTATGCAGGGTGAGAGGTGTCTTTGCCAGCTTCTAAGAGAGGAGGAAAACGTCAGTGCTAGTTTTAGGGAATTTTGGGTCCTACCCGGTAGTGCTCCTGGTTTACTCCTGCAAAGGCTCAGGGGGGATCATATAGGATGCCCAGGACTGAACCTGGGCACTGAGTGCAAGGCAAGTGCCTTACCTACAATCTCTGGTACCAGAGAGCCTGGTGTCAGGAAGGATGGACTCAGGTTGTTTTTTTCCCCTCACACCCAGTGGTGCTCAGGGTTAACTCTTGGCTCTGCGCTGAGGCATCACTCCTGGGGGGCTCAGAGGACCATATGAAGTGCCGGGGTTCGAATTCCGCATGGCCCTGTGCAAGGAAACTGCCTTATGTCCTGTACTCGCTCTCTCTGGCCATGGGCTCAGGGTTTCGGTACGAGGAAAGACTAGACAGCTAATAAACCTGACGGTCCTGCTCAAAGGGGTCCTGGAATAAATGGGGTGACCAGTCCCTCTGCAGCAAAGCTTTGGCCAGGACGTAGGGTCACCCACATTGCATAGAGAAAGTGGCGTGAAGTGAGAATCTACCAGCATATGTGAGCTGGAGGGCATCATGGTCCGAGGCTGGGAAGAAGGCAGATTGGAAGACGCTGGAGGGGACACAGGCGGACCAGAGGTTGGGGGACATTGATAAAACAGAAGGCTGTTCCCCCCACAAGCACCCGCCACAAGGAGGCACTAGACCGCTAAGAATAGCCCTCCCACCCCAATCACTGATTGACCAGGCCAGGTTGCACCCGCCAGAAGGAGGCGCCAGATCACCAATCACACAAAACAGCCCTCCCACCCCTGTCACTGATTGGTTAGGCCAGGCCGCACCTGCCACAAGAAGGCGCCAGGCCACCAATCACACAGAACGGCCCTCCCACCCCCATCACTGATTGGTCAGACCAGGCTGTCACTCGGAGCAGGAGAGGGAGGCACTGGGGCTTTTAGATGGTGACCTCGGAATCCTCTGCCCGGTTCCACGGGCTTCCAGCACTGCCGGAGACCCACTGCGACCACCACAGAGCCCAAGGCTCACCCCATCCCTGCTCAGGGAGGGCAGCCAGCAACCTCGTGGCACCCTGGGTGCAGGGGGACCCGGCCTCCCCCTCATCCCTTCCCGTCCTGTTCTGCAGCGGAACCCACCCCTGCTCCGTAGGGGGCAGTTGCCTCTCTTGCCCTGGAGAGCCTTGAAGTCCCCCCAAAACGGCCAAAAGGGCCAGAGCTCACCCTCACACTGTACCTGGGGCCGAGGCCCCAACCTTGGGCTTGATATTCCCAAACTTCAAGTCAACAACGACTGCGGCTGGAGAGATGCTAAGTACAGCGGGCAGGATGATCGCCCGGCCAGGGTCGATCCCGGCAACCCATAGGACCCCTGAGTGTCACCAAGAGTGAATCCCTGAATGCAGAATCAGGGGTCAGCCCTGAGCCCCACTGGTGTGGTCTCCAAAACCAAAGAAAACAAAAAAAGTCAGCAATGATCCCCTACTTGGACAAACTTGCAGGCTATTGAATGTAGCCTGCCCACAGGGCAGAGTCTGGCAAACTCCCCGTGGCGTACCAAATATGCCAAATACCAGTAACAATGATGGGTCTCATTCTCCTAAATAGCCTTGAATATAATCTCAGGGCAAGGATGAAAGAGACGTTACTGGGGCCTGCTCGAGGCAATCGACGAATAACAGGATGATGAAATGAAAATGAAATGAATGATCCCCAACGCCCCCCTCCCCACCGCCGAGGCTGGTGCCCGAAGTCTGCCTGGGAAATGCCATGGGGCGTGCTGGGAATGAACACAAGAGGCAGAAGGGTCCCTGGGGGTCTGATCCTAGAGCCAGGGAAACTGAGGCACAGTGGGCATAGGAGCTGGCTTCTAGAGTGGGAGGACCTGGGTGTGCTGGTGTTTGCTTCCTTTCTATCCCTTTACGGTTTGTTGGGCGTATTCCAGAATCTTCTCTTGGGGGGTCCCATAGGTGCCCGCTGGCCCAGGGCCTTGAGCCCACAGAAGGACTGTCAGCTCTGCACCAGTGCTGGGGGCCCCAGGCGTTGCCAACGCTCTCCCTCTTGCTCACGAAGTGGGGAGTGCTCAGGCCCCTGCTCTGGGGGTCTCCAGCACCGCCGGCTCTGAGCACTGACCATCCTGGTCAACCAAGTGGGGTGCCCCTGAGTACTGTGTGGGACCCCCAAAGTGGGGGCTTCTATGTCACGGCTGAGGCTCGAGGGCTGGGGGGTGTCCAGGAGGCGGGAGTGGCTGAAATGCCCCCATTTTAGGGAAGAAAACACAAACCCCGATGTGGGGGGGGCACACCCCTGCACCCCCCGCCCCCCTGCACTGCTGTTCCGAGGCCGCCTGGTGCCCAGGGTGGGGGGAGCTGCCCACCCCCCTGCACTTCCCTGTCCTCCCTTCCTCTTTCCCGGCCTATTTTTAGAGAGAGCAGCTGGCCTGGCTTCCCCTTTCCGGGGCAAAAGGGGGCGCTGTGTGTGGGTCCTGGGGCGGTACCCCCCCCCGCCCGCCGGGAGGAGCACTGGGCCGGGAGCTGTGTGGTGGCCTTGGCTCCTGGCCCCGCCCCAGCCTGGTGCCCCGAGCGCTTCCTCCCCCCACAGCCGCCTCTATTTTTAACCCCTGTCAAAGCGGCATGAGCCGGGCTAAGCTTTGAGTCTCGTGACTCGTCCCCGGGGGGCTGGACGTCCCCCCAGAAAGCCCTGGGGGAGAGCCCTGAGCTGCTTCCGGATGTCCTAGGCGGAGGGGAAGGGGCCTGCCGCACAAGAGGGGACACTGAGGCCGACCGGAGAGTCTGGGCTGGGTGGGCCGGCTTGCACGGCACCAAGTGGAGCAGGGGCGGTCACCCTGCAGATTTAGGGGGTGACTCACAGGGGAATCCCCTTCCCACTCCCCTTCCACCTCCTTCAGGAAGTCTTCCCAGCTCTTCCCTGCCTGGTCAGGAGTCACTTCTGCCTGGCTCCAGGCCCGTGTCCAGCGGCAGGTCTGGGTCACGGTCCTGTGGCAGCAACCACCCTTCGTGCCCACATTCTACAGTAGCCGCTCCCCCGGGGCTGGTCACCCCCCTCCGCCCCAGCCGCCGACGACACCACCACCACCACCGCCACATTGCTCAGGGCCTCTGCGTCTGAGACTGATTCTCTAATAAACAAACTCATAAGGGACTCAATCAAGGGGGAGGCCCCACACGTCCCAGCAGCTATCCCCCCGCCGCCAGACCCTGTTCACTTCATGCCCACCCAGGTGGGTGAGAGCAGCACCTCACCTCTGCCGCCGCCTCCAGGCAGGCGCCCTAGCATTCCGGGACTGACCTCGCTGCAGGAGAGGCTGTCCCCTCCAGCTCACCTCTGAGAGTTTCAGCTGAGACTGCGGGGACCCTCAGCCCTGTCCTTACTGTTCTGGACATAAGGTGGACCCCCCTCAGCACAAAACAACAACGGCGGAGGGGCAGGCGGCCTGAGGCTTGTGCGTGTGAGCAGTCCCGGGCCAGGCAGGGGCAGATGATCTGTTCAGGCTCCGTTTGCAGAAACCCTCGGTCGCTTGGGGATGGCATCGGGGCCTGGGGAATGGGATCATTCCCGGGGGTCCTTGTTCTCTGCACCCCCAGAGGTGCCGGAGATTCTGAAATGTTGGTGCTGGACCAACATTTCTGCCTCCCAGAAACACTGAATCCTGCCCTGGCTCACACCAGCCCCGTGGACACCTCTCCTGTCCCTGCCATGGGCTTCTGTCCTGGGAGGGTCTTGGCCGTCACCCTCTGCTGCCTGAGACCCCCTCGGTTTGCTGCCTCTTAAGACAAAACTGGGGTTTATACCAAGTGGTGCTTGTTATAAACTCACTCCTGGCTCTGTGCTCAGGGCTCACTCCCGGCTTGTGCTTAGGACTCACTCCTGGTTCTGTGCTTGGGGATCCCTCCTGGCTCCGTGCTCAGGGCTCACTTCTGGCAGGACCGAGGACATAACAGTGCCAGGGATCAAACCTGAGTCGGCAGCATGCAAAGAAGGCAAGTGCCCTGCCCTGCTCTAGGATCTCTCCAGCCCCTCCTCACTGCATCTGAGAGATGTTCTCATCCCCCAAAGACTAAACAGGCCCTGAGGTCCTTGTAATGCCCAGACAGGCCTTGTCATCACCACCAGGGGCATTTTTAAGGCACCAGTTGTTCTCACTCCTGCCTCTGGGCCTTTGCACTGACAGCTTCTCTGCCTGGAACAGCCTTTCCCCAAATTGACGTGGGTCACCACTTCCTGCCTCCTTCGGGTTCCCTCTGGAGGCCCCTGTGACCACCCTCTCCTCTCCCTCTGTCGTATCTCCCCTTGCTCATCGTCATTCTGGCCTCAGACAAGACTGCCTGTTGTCTGTCTCTCCACCAAGCCAGTGTGTGTGTGTGTGTGTGTGTGTGTGTGTGTGTGTGTGTGTACACGCATGCGCACACAGGGTTGATCTTCCCTCCAACTCAGAAGCTCCCCCCTCCAGAGACCCCACTGCACACGCCAGCCGTGCCCACCCGCGTTTCCCCTACCCCTTCCTGTGGGGCGGCCACTCTGGGCCCCGCCCCACCCAGGAGGAGACTGAGATCCGGAGCACTGGGCCCCGGAACCTACCTGTCTGGCACAGGTCCATGGCGAGGCCCAGGGCCCTCCGGGCGGGCTCCGGTGTCGCCTGCAGCCCCAGCTGTCACTCAGGATGTCTGTCAGTCTGCAGCTGGGGCTCGGCCTGCGACAGGCCCCTTCCCGCTCCTCGAGCCCCGCCCGCTGCGGGAGGAAGTTCCGTCGAGGGGGGGTGATGGGGTGACGGGCAGTATGGCGGGGGACGGGACAGTTCTCTTTGCTGTAGCGTTTCCTATAAACAGCCACGTTCCGAGTAGTGGGACCATGCACTGGGGTGTGATGAGCAGAGAGGCAAAGAGATGGGTGGGGGGTGGGGCAGACAGACAGACAGACAGAAACACTGACGTGTGCACACCCAGAGGAGACAGAACTAGCTGTAGAGGCCAAGAGACACAGCATTGAGTAGAGTCACCCAGTGGGGTAGCCCTAGTGGGGCCCCCTCTCGCCCACGGTCACCTTCTCCCCAATTCTTTCTCCAGAAGAGAACAGGAGAGAGCTTTTTTTTTTCTTTTTGGGCCACACCCAGCGATGCACAGGGGTTATTCCTGGCTCTGCACTCAGGAATTACTCCTGGCGGTGCTTGGGGGACCACATGGGATGCTGGGAATCGAACCTGGGTCAGACGCATGCAAAGCAAACGCCCTCCCTGCTGTGCTATAGCTCCAGTCTGAGATATGCTTCTTCTTCTTTTTTATTTTTCTGTTTGGGTCACACCCGGCCATGCACACAGGGTTTGCTCCTGGCTCTACACTCAGGAATTACCCCTGACGGTGCTCGGGGGACCATATGGGATGCTGAGAATTGAACCTGGGTCGGCCGCGTGCAAGGCAAATGCCCTACCTGCTGTGCTATCACTCCAGCCACTGAGATATGCTTCTTATCAAAACAAAGTCCGGCTTTGTTCCTGTCTGGCGACCCATGAACAGGGCATTGGTCCCCTTCCCTTTCCACAGCTGGGATGTTCAAACTCTAATCAGAGTCTCTTAAGAGCTGTCGACTCTCAGCTCGGGGGATGGGGTGGGGGCTCATCAGAACTCAGTCACTGATCTGAGGCCCCAATGGGGAAAAAAATCAGGGCCGGAGCTATAGCACAGCAGATAAGGCTCTTGCCTTGCACATGACCAACCCGAGTTTGATCCCCGGCACTCCATAGGGTCCCCCAAACCCTCCAAGAGTGATCCCTGAGTGCAGAGCCAGGAGTGACTCTGAGCACTGCTGGGTGTGGCCCAACCACTCCCCCCTCCTCCCAACCCCCCCACTCCAAAAAGGGTAATAAAGGCTGGAGCAATAGCACAGCGGGTAGGGCGTTTGCCTTGCATGCGACCAACACGGCCAACCTGAGCTCGATTCCTCCGCCCCTCTTGGAGAGCCCGGCAAGCTACTGAGAGTATCTTGCCCGCACGACAAAGCCTGGCAAGCTCCCCGTGACATATTCGATATGCCAAACACAATAACAAGTCTTACGATGGAGACGTTACTGGGCCCGCTTGAGCAAATTGATGAACAACAGGAGGACAGTGACAGTGACAGTGAATCACCACCTCTGAGAGGAGGGAGGTGACGTCTTTAAGATGCTGGAGGATGGGAGAAGCACACTGAAAGTAGACACTAGATCGAACATGATTGCCACTCAGTGCCTCTTTTGCAAACCACAGCACCCAAAAGGAGAGAGAGAACAAAAGGGAATGCCCTGCCACAGGGTGGGGTGGGATGGGGGAATGACAGTGGGAGGGCTACTGAGATCTGTGGTGGTGGAAAATGGGCACTGGTGGAGGGATGGGTACTAATTGAAACCCAAGCACAAAAATTTGTAAGTCTAAAAAAAAAAAAGATGCTGGAGCCATGGGTGGGCTCAAGAAATGGACACTTTTTCTTTTTTTTTTTTCTTTTTCCTTTGGGCTTGAATTCCTTCTTTAGTGACAATTTACACTTTTCTTGCTTGGACCATTTTGGGCAGCTCGAGTCCAGTTGTTTCTGGGAAAAGGAGTGGAGGAAAATCATTCAAGCGCAAGCCCGCTTCTTGTAACCTTCGTGCACCGTGCACCCTCCCCCCCACCCCGGCTTCTTTGTCTCTCTCACCCTTAGGGGGTGACTGAGGACAGGGACACCTCAGTCTCCATGTCTGGTCTCCAGCCACAGAGCAAACACTGAAGTGTGCAAAAGAGGAATGAATGAATGAACAAATGCAAAGCGACATCGGGGAGATGATTTGGAATATAAACTAGTCACAAGTTTCAGCTCTCCCGGGTCCGTGCTCCTTGGCGCCCAGATGCTGCATATCTGCACGGACAGGCTGACTCAATTTCCCCTGCCCTTGAATCTGGGATGGTTTGTGTCTTTTTTTTTTTTCTTTTTGAGTCACACCCGGCGATGCACAGGGGTTACTCCTGGCTCATGCACTCAGGAATTACTCCTGACGGTGCTCGGGGGACCCTATGGGTTGCTGGGAATTGAACCTGGGTCGGCTGTGTGCAAGGCAAACACCCTACCTGCTGTGCTATTGCTCTAGCCCCAGTGTGTCATTTTTTAAAAAAAATTTTCCCTGAGGGACCACATTCAGGGCTTACACCTGACTCTGTGCTCAGGAATCACTCCTGGTGGAGCTCAGAAACCCTGGGCGGGGTGGGGGTGGGGTGCTGGGATTTGAAACGTGGGTTAGCCAAGTGCAAGGCCGGCGGCCTCCCCATCCTGGTCCTAGAAGCCAGGATCGCTCCTTTCTCTTGCATAAGTAAAGGTTCTTTTCTAGGAAACTTGCTGTAAGAATTTCTTGTGGTTAAACTCGAGTTTCCCCCGACAAATCTGGGCCCAAGGTGTCTATACCACCCCTGCCCCCATGCCACTGCTTTCAGAAAGAGAAATGGAGAAAAGGGCATCTTGCTCTGGGCGGAAACACACTGGTCACGCCTGGACCACGCGTGCAGGCAGCGAGCGAACGGGCAATCACACCTGTCCTTGGAGTCTGGAATCGGGTGCAAGAAAGGAGAGGCAGCTGAACTGACCAGCCGCCAAGCAAAACCGGATGCTGATCCCTTTATCCCTCCCTCCATCCTCCCACCAACCATGCGTCTATCCGCCTATCTGACAATAATCCATCCACCCCCGACTCCGCGCCCTCTCTCCCGCCATCCACTCACCCATCATCGGTGGATGCTTCCTCAAGTTCGCTGCATACCCCGCATTATTCTTGGCCCTGGCACAGTGAGACAAAAGCCCCTGCCCTTGAAGGTACATGATTGAGTCAGTTGGGCTGGGTGAGACAGGGGGGAGAATGTGAGAGGCTGAGTCACCCCTGAGATCGCTCCCTCTCATCATTTTCTCTGACTGCTTATTTTCTCCTCGCTTGGATCTGGATACAGTCTCTGCCTGGCAGAGAGAGCCCCCCGACCCCTGATTCTCTGGGAGTTCTCGTGAGACTCCAGCTGTGCCCAGTTTCTCCCAGACCCGCCACTTGGTCAGTCTGGAGAGCCTGGAGCTCAGAGGGAAGGAAGGAAGCAGGACAGAGGGACCGGTGGTGATTCAGTCAGCCACAGAGGTTGGGGGAGGGGGGTCACGCTCAGTGAATTGGAACTCCACATGAATTGAATTCCACCGAGGAATTGCCTCTGATGAGACCATTGTACACAGGGTGTGTGTGTGGGGGGCGGGGGGGCATGGGAATCAGGGAATTCTGGAGCTGCCCAAATGCTCTTTGGGGCTCAGTGGTAGATAACATGCACCCCTGCTGGGTGGCTATGCCAAGGAGTCATTAACGAGATGAATGACAAAACAGAATTCAATTATCTCCTTTTTTTGGGGGGGGGGGGATCACACCCTGCGATGCTCAGGCGTTACTCCTGCCTCTGCATTTAAGAACTAGTCCTGGTGATGCTTGGGGGATTTATGGGATGTCGGGGATCGAACGCAGGTCGGCTGCGTGCAAGGCAAGTTCCCTCTCTGCTGTCCTATCTCCTCAGCCCCCTATTCAAGCATGTTGGGCTCTAAGCAAACACAACTTAGCTGAGCTTAGACTGGAACCTTCTGGCTTGGTCCCGGGGGGTACAGATTCTAGAGATCTAAAATGTAAACGACCCCGTTTTTCCTCTCACCATCTCCCCTCCCTCCCTCCCTCCCTCACTCCCTCCCTCCGTCTGTCCCTCCCTCTCTCACCCCTCCTCTTTCTCCATTCTCTTCCCATGCCCCCCTTCTCTCTCTCACACTCCCCTCCCCCACTCTGGGCGTTCAGATCCGTGTTCACTGAGCAAATGCACCTGCTCCCCACGATACTCCTTTGATGCCCAAAGCGGCCTTGCCCAAAACATTTCTCAGGAAAAGACTTTGGGTTTATTTCTTTTAGTTATTTTATTTTATTTTGCTTTTTGGGTCACACCCGGCGATGCACAGGGGTTGCTCCTGGCTCTGCACTCGGGAATTACTCCTGATGGTGTTTGGGGAACCCTATGGGATGCTGGGAATCGAACCTGGGTCGGCTGCGTGCAAGGCAAACGCCCTCCCCGCTGTGCTATCACTCCAGCCCTCTTTTGCTTTATTTAAAAATGTAATAAAATTTTTTGAAAGGGGGAAGGCCACACGCGACAGTGCTGGGGATGGATACTAACGGGCTCACTGCATTCAAGCCGTACCTCCTGGACCACCAGCTCAGCCGCCTCCAAGGGAAAGCCTTTGATTGGCTAAAGCTTGGTCACGTGCCCCGCTCCGGACCAATCACATCTCAGAGTCGGCCAGGCCTATGACAGCGAATTCAGGCTCCCCCACCCCCCACCCCATCCCGCGCCCCCCAGGAAAAGGGCCCGTCCCGGAGGAAGGAACAGCTGTGGATGGACACACCACAGCTGGCCGTCGCGTTTGGGGCCTGTGCGGGGTTTTGTGTTTCGGTTCCTCTTGTTCGACGGCGCAGCCCACCCGGGATGGCGCAGCCGAGGCCGGAAAGGTCTGCGGTGGTCAGCTCGGCCAGGAGGTCAGCTCCAAGCTGGGTGGGTGCATGTGTGCACGTGGCCTCCCCAGCTGTCGCGTGGCTGTTTTCTTCCACTGGCCCCTTCCCCTAAAGAGGGGCTCCCCATCTT